AGCTGCCCAAACGGCGAGACGCTACGCACCTGATCATGAACGGTAGCCCACAGATAGCTGTCCATAAACCTGACGCTGCCATCTTCTACAACTACCTTGCCGGCTGGCTTCCATTGTGAGGTCGCAGGCGAGCCAATGTCGTCGAGAATCGAGGCTGTGCCTGTGGGCAATGGAAGCTGCGTTATACTTGGGGACGGACCTGCTGTTGAAGAGGGGGTGGGTTGGGTTGACGGAGAAAGAATGCTCGAGACGGTGGGAGGGCCGGCGGGAGGCGTCGTGGAACCGGTCGTAGCATACTGCTTCAACAGTGCTTCACACCTGGCCAACCTCTCCTGCAAGTCCTGATTTGGCCTCCGTCTCTTGCGCGCAGGAGCTGGTGTGGAGGGAGTGCATGTGACATTGGCCTATGCGAGTCAGCGGCCAGAATACTAGATAACTTCACGGTCTCGGCAGCGCACCTTGATACAGTTGGAGCATGGGGTATTGCGGTCGCATTTGATCTTGCGATGTTGGCAGAGCACGCAAGCCAGAACCCGCGGGCTCTTGTGCTGGCTCGAGGTGGTGCTCATCATTGGTAGGGCTGAGGCTGAGGGGCCTATGGGGATGCGATAGTCGCCACAGAAGGATTTTGAAACAGGACGAACTCGTCCATGTATTGGGGTATCAAACCCGCAGACTCGGAACGCGTGGGCGCGCGGCCCTTATGATCAGTCCCTCACGGGAGCAGTCCGACGACGACGACAGAGGAGTTGCAGGGGTTCTGGTTTAGCAAAAGGGAAGTGGAGGAAAAGGTGTGGCGAGCCCAAGATCTGAGACCTGAGAGGTAATAAATGAAGACGAGGATTGATTGACGCGACCCTAGTGGGAATAAAGAGCCCCCCCTTTGACGAGGATCGCAGGTGGTCGCGCACTTTGGCGCAGCGCAAAGTAAAGTTTTTGGCTTAGAAATTGGCAGAAAATGGGATCCTGGGTTGCGTTTGGTTCGAGGCGGCGTCGATGACCAACCAAAGCGGGGGTTAGCGCGAGAGAACGGCTTTGGATCGTTATGCTTCCCCAGTTGTGCACCTCAGTGCGGCGGCGGATGAAGATGGTGGGCGAGGGCGGTAGAGAGGGAGTTGGCGGAGGCAATACGGCTTTGGTCGAGGGTTGATCGTGGGCTGGTCCGGGACGAGCGGACGGGAGGCCTGGCCTAAGTAGCCAGGGTTCGAGTTGGCTGAAGCTGCGAGCCGGGGCGCCTTGTTTGAAGACGCGCGTGCGGTAATGATGGTGAGCAGACGGGTGACGGGTGCCTGGGATTGATATGTGCGATGTGAATCCTCAGGCCTGTGCTGCTGCGTTGCCGAACCGCAGACGCCGTATCTTTGTTGTGCGGGATACGGTGGGCGGGATGGAAGGATTGGCTGGAGGGAGAGATAGGTACCAGGAGGCGGAGGTTGGAGTTGCGCGATGGGTGTGGGTGGGTGTCCAGATGTGTGTGTGTATGTGTGTTTGTGTGTGTGAGAAAGAGAGAGAACGTGGAGGACGAGGATGGGAAAGAGGAGGCGCAGCGGCGGAGAATGTGGGAAAGCAGCAAATGCAAATGCAAGAGAGGAGGACAAACAGCTACCGGGCAGGCAGGCAAACGGCAGTCAGTGAGTGTGAGACTGAGTGGTTTCTGCTGACTGGACTGGACTGGACTGGACTGGCTGGTCTCGAACTGCTTGCTGCTACTGCAGTGCTGATGAGGCGTTCGGCGGCGGCGGAGGCGGCGGTCCAGAAGAAGTATGAAGAATCAATCGAATGCGGGCGCGGGTCACAGTTTACTCGGCCTGACTCGTCGGGATTCCAGGAATTCCGATGCAGCACTACCCAGCCAAGAGCACAAAAGGACTGACCGGTGCTGCGGGACGTGTCGTGTGCGTCTCACTGGGTTTCTCCCGCTTGCGCCTAGCTGATCTTCTGGGGCCCAATATATGTCTAAGGTAAAGTCGGGTGTGTGTGAACTCGAGACTCCAGTTGTCCAGTGCTCCCTCCCTACACTAGGTGACTAGGTAGAGGAATGGAGACGAGTGGCTAGGGAAGTGGAGGAGGATAGGATAAAGTGGTTACTGTACCCCTCCAAGGCTGCGGATGTCTTTTTGACGCCCGAGAGATTCCGTCGCAATTCAAACAGGGACGACGTTTGTGTCGCAGGTTGCCGTCCGGTTCAGTTGGAGCAGAGTTGGAGTACCCAGGTGGTGGTACGTCGCAATTATTAATAGGCAGCAACTGCGGCGACAGGAGGCAGAAAAGGCGGGCAGTTGACAGAAAGCTAGAACGTGGAAGGGAACAGAGAAGAGATAGGGCAGCAGGTCGATCAATCCAAGCAAGACGGGACTCAGAGACTCAAGTCAAGAGGGGGTGAGGTCGCCGGAGGGAACGGACGAAACGGACGTCGGGCGGACGAATGACGACAGGATGCTGGCCAACTGGGTGCATGTGCGCGGTCTAGCCTCGAGCTCCTCTGCGGCGACGGGATGCAAGGTAACAGAACCCTGGCCCTGGGACGGAGTTTGGTGTATGTCTTGTACCGCGTAGCAGTGGCAGCAGTGCGGATATACTTTGGACGTTTCCACCGTCGTAAATCTGGGCTGAACCTCGATGCCAAAGTCCGCCGAGGTTCGGAAGAGCCTACAATGGGCAGCCACGTCTGGTCGTACTAAGTAAGGACTAAGCGGATGCTAAGGGATGGATGTGCGGTCGAGAAGAGAGAACAGGCAACAAATAAGTGCGATCAACTCCAGGGTTCAACGCGATGTGAGGTCAGGAAGGCAGGGTACGGCAGCGGCAGCGGCCATGCAGGGCAAGGCAAGGCAAGGCCATGTACCTACTGCGGAAGGTATGTAGAGCAGGGATGGACGGGAGTAGGTAAGGTAGGGTAGTTAGTTGGTTGATGGACAGGGAAGCGGCAGAGAGCGCAACGGGAAAGGACGGTACCGAAGGAGTTCGGGAACAAGTGGAAGACAAGTTGGAGGTGGTGGTGCAAGGTAAGGTAGGTAGAGGAGGGGATGAGATGTTGGAAGAGGGTGGGTGGGCAGAGCAGGGACGGCGGGCGGACGGCGGGGTGACGGTTGAGAGTTCCTGACAGAATTCAGAATTCACGTCAACGTCCTTGCGCAAGTGCAGCAAGGCGGGGAAGAAACACTGCAGCAGCCACCAGTGTGTAGCCGTAAAAACGATGTGCGAGAATTGGATGGAGGGGGATGGAAGATGGAGATGGAGATGAGAAGGGGTGAAAAGAGGTCCGGGCAACGCAGAGTCTCGGTAAAGTGAAGGTACCTCACTCATCAGGCTCTAATGGAACTCCTCAGCGGCAGGCAGGTATGAGCCACAATGAGCCAGCTGGAAGCGCAAATGAGCCTATGCTGCTGCAGCAAGGGGAAACAGGTAGGAGGAGACAGACTGTCACTTCCCCGACCCCAACCCCAACTCATCCCTCACATCAGCATCAGCACCAGCACCAGCATCAGCATCAGCATCAGCAGGTGGGATTTATTAACCGCGCGTGCACATCATCTTAGCACTTCCTAGGCGCTGTTAAAGCGCAGGAGACACTCATGAAAGTCCCCGCCATCCCTCGTTCCCCTCGTACTCATCGGATCAGTGACATTGCGTCAAGGCATTGTACAACGCCAACCTAGTCTAATGCTGGCATAATGCACCCAACCGGTGGCACTCTGCCGTAACCAGGAAACTGCGCGCGCGCACAACTCTCTCAACTGAATGTCCGTACTTGCATACAGTTGTTTCTACTCTGTCCCGTACTCCGTACCAAGTTGGACACGTGGAGCAGATCCGCCAGATAGACACAGGGTGCCTTACCAAGACCGACTTGTGGTGGGCGAGGTCGGGGGATAACAGGGCCGACCCTTACGTATCTTGCACTAAAACGCATGCCTGCCAAGATGCCGAAGTGCGAGACGATTAGCGTGCAAATGGGTTGCTTTCTCAGGTTTTACGACGGCTGCATCTTGTGCAAAAGGCTAGCTGCGGCGGTGGTTGCGTGCGGCTCATAGACTTGTGCACGGATAGATGTTCCCGATCTCATATTATGCAACTTATACAAACCTTATGACATCCCACGGCCTCCTCAGCGGCATCGTGACCACACTCTCCTCTGACGGGCCCTCCACCTGTTCCACGCGCGTGGGGCCATGCCGGTCGGCAGATGGAGGAGCGGACTGATGACTCAACTCAACAGCGTTCACGAATCCACAATTCGACGTCTGAAGTTCTGCAGAGCTCCGCTGGAAGGGGCTGTTGCTCCGCCCAGCCGGTGGTAACCTGAGCCCGTCCTTACCTCCGTGTCCCGATGGCCGGCCACTCATCCCGCCGTCTTCCGTCGTATTCGGCTCGTTCCTTTTTTCTGCCCTGGTCGGCCGTCATTCTGCTGCAAGTCGAGGAATTGGGGATGGGGGCAGCATCCCACCTGTTCCTGTCAACCCCAAGCGGCAACTTCTACGTTATCAGATCGCGTAGGAAGTTGGGATAGCAGCTGTTTATGATTTCACCTCACGAATATACAGCAACTGCAATTAGACGACGAAACAAGCGCCCAGTCAATGGTAATCATTCAATGACATTCATCACGACTTCAAGTCTTCGGAGCTGCGCACGATCTATAGCCAATCATGTCGCTTGAAACGACTCAGAGTGGGCTTCACAGCGCAGCGTGCCGTTGGCTGTTAGATGGCTTCAGCCAATCACCAACACCCTAATGCTGATTTCCCCAACAGGCCAATCAGTTTGCGGGAACCCCACGTCAGCGCAATTCCTTCCCCACATGCTCCAAATTTTTGGCCGGAGTCACAACCACCACTGCCGACATCGCGACCGACGCCGAAAAAACAGTGACGAGCAACCTCAAATCGCCGCAAACCTCCACCACCACCGTATCCCGAGTTGCAGACGGCCGGCCGAAGGGACTGCAACACGTTACGAATCGATCCGAACGGCCATTGGCCTCGAAATAGCAGCACACAATGCTTCCCATTGTATGTCACTCTGCCGTCTCCGACCTCGCTGCTGCGACTTCATCGCTAACCTGCAACCCCTGCTCAGAGACGAGCCGTGGCCTTCCACGCCGCGAGAACCTGCCGCCAGTTCCTCCCCCGACACGTTGCCGCTCCGCGACCGATCCGATCGAGCCTGTACACGACTTCTGCCCGTTTGCGACAGAATGCCTTCCACTCCCAGCTCGAGAGCCACGCCGCCGCGGGGCCTAGCGTCATCCAGAACCCCCAGACTATGACGGAAAAGATCGTACAGAACTACTCTGTCGGTCTTGCTCCTGGAAAGAAGGTTCGCACGGGTGACTATGTCACCTTGCAACCGCACAAGTGCGTCGTCTGGGAGCCTGTCAATGTTTACTACGACTAACATCATGCCAGGATAATGACCCACGACAACAGTTGGTACATGGAAGCCTATAAGCCCAAATTTTACGTTCTTTCTGACAGAGAAAAGGCCGGTCGCTCTCAAGTTTATGGGCCTGGGTGCTACGAAGTTGCATGACAAGGATCAAGTCATCTTGGTACGACCAACACCACCCACCCTCTCACCCTCTTCTTCTCCCACCAAACAGGCAACAACAACACCAAGTCCAACCATCGGGCAGTTCAAAATGAGATGTTTTTGAGAAGACTTAGGCTGACTCCACTTTACAGACTTTGGATCATGATGTTCAGAATAAGAGCGAGGCCAATTTGAAGGTTAGTTCTTCACCATTCTTGAGTGTAACCCTTCTAACACGTACTCCAACAATGCAGAAATACAGGTAAACTCGCGATCTCATCTACAGTCATGACTCCTTCTCATACAATACAGACTCATCGAGGAATTCGGAAAGAAGCAAGGGACATTCTTTTCCGGAGCCGGAGATGGCATTGGCCATCAAATCATGATTGAGAATGGATTCGCCTGGCCTGGCACAGTGACCGTGGCTTCGGACAGCGTTCGTCTTTTAGTTTTTCTTATGTCTAGAATGTGGATGTTATTTCTAACTCTTGACTATTATAGCACAGCAACATGTACGGTGGAGTCGGCGCTTTGGTGAGTTCTCAGCTGATGCTCCCATTGTATCTGTGGGTGCTAATTTCGACAGGGAACTGCGCTCGTACGAACTGATGCTGCAGCCGTCTGGGCTACTGGAAAGACTTGGTGGCAGGTGCCCCCGATCGCCAAGGTGGGCAGACGAATTATGTTAAGAAAATCTATGGAGATACTGATCGCGTGCATAGATCACTCTCACTGGAACTCTGCGCCCAGGAACTACTGGCAAGGATATTATCGTGGCACTCTGCGGTCTGTTCAACAAGGACGAAGTTCTGAACCACAGCGTTGAATTCGTCGGAAGCGAAGAGACCATGCGAAGCATCCCAATTGACGACCGATTGACTGTTTCGAACATGACCACCGAACACGGCGCTGCGTAAGTCTTCAAACAAGAGTTTTGCCGTCCGGCGGTGGTTTTGGTTGACCGAGTGGGACCCACTTATCTCAGCCAATCAATTGTGCACAAGCCAACATCCTGCACAATTATCACGAAGTCGTCAACTTGACTAACTCATTTGCAGTGCCGGAATCTTTCCCATGGACTCGGTCTTGAAGGCCTGGATGACAGCCAAGGCTACTACGAACGCTATGCTCAACGTGGAGGGGCCCGCCAAGACAAACTTCACTCACGAGCGTATCGAGAAACTCTTCGAGAACCCCGTGAGAGCCGACCCAGGCGCGGTCTACGCCAAGGAACTGTACCTGAACCTCGACACCCTCTGCCCCTTCGTTGCTGGGCCCAATTCTGTCAAGGTTGCAACGCCTTTGCATGAACTTGAAGCTCAAGATATCAAGGTCGACAGGGCATACTTGGTTTCATGCACGAACTCTCGTGCCTCGGACATCGCAGCTGCAGCTCGCGTTTTCCGTGAGGCTTCGGAGAAGGGCTCACCGGCTAAAGTAGCTTCTGGTGTGAATTTCTACTTGGCTGCTGCCTCTCGCGCAGAGCAAGCAGCTGCGGAAGCTTCCGGAGACTGGCAGGTCCTCGGTATGTCCCCCTTCCTTCAGAAACTAGACGAGCGCCATTCTGATGCGTTTATAGCCGATGCTGGAGCCCACCTAATGTCCCCAGGCTGTGCGCAGTGTATAGGGCTGGAAAGTGAATTCTTTTCCCCTGAGTAGAGAATATTTACTAACTTCTTCTTATAGGGCACCGGTCTGCTTGAGCCAGGTATGTTCGGACGTAAACGTTCATTTGACGATGTACTGACACCTCCCCAGGCGAAGTCGGAATCTCAGCCTCTAACCGCAACTTCAAAGGCCGCATGGGTTCGACTGACGCTAAGGCCTACTTGGCCAGCCCCGAAGTCGTCGCAGCCAGTGCATTGCAGGGTAAGATCGCCGGGCCGGGCTGGTACCAGAAGCCGGAGGGCGTCGACAAGGTCATCATCGGCGAGGGTGTTGGTGACATCACCGCCGACATCTCTAGCAGCATCGAGGATGCTCTTGAGAAGCTGATCTCTCAAGCCGACGACCTTATTGCTGAGTCCGAGAAGGGCTTGACAGGCTCCCCTGAAGGCGAGGCTGCTGCCGCTGATGGCGAGGAGACGCTGACCGATGTTCTCCCCGGATTTCCTGAGAAGATTGAGGGCGAGATCGTTTTTTGCGATGCAGACAACCTCAACACTGATGGAATCTACCCCGTATGCCTCCCTCTGACCCGCTTGTTGGCATCGAATAGGCCTAACCCGTGCTGCAGGGAAAATACACGTACCAAGACGACGTCACAACCGAGAAGATGGCGGAAGTCTGCATGGAGAACTACGACACAGAGTTCCGTCATATTGCCAAGGCAGGAGACGTCCTTGTTTCTTCATACAATTTTGGTACCGGCTCCTCGAGAGAGCAGGCCGCGACCGCCATTCTCGCTAAGGGCATTCCCATGGTCATCGCCGGCAGCTTTAGCAACATCTTTAGTCGTAACAGCGTCAATAACGCGCTGATGGCACTCGAGGTCCCGAAGCTGGTCGAGCGTCTGCGCGAAGCTTTCAAGGGTGAGAAGGAGAAGGTTCTTACTCGTCGCACGGGATGGAAGGTTCTTTGGGACGTCAAGAGGAGCAAGGTTGTTGTCACAGAGAAGGACGGCGCGAGCTGGAGCGTCAAGGTGGGCGAGCTGCCGCCCAACGTACAAGGTATGGAGCAATCAACCCCGCAGCCTTTTTTGCGGAATTAGTACTAACAACTCACAGAAATCATCGCCAAGGGTGGTCTTGAGAAGTGGGTGAAGAGTCAGATTTGAAAGATTCCCATCACTACATACCAAAAAGGGGGCGGGTTACGGCACCATAAAACTTGTTTTGAGTACGATACTGGATCATGGACGGGGACTTCTTTTTTGTAGATATGGGTTCTGAAAAAGTACACGGTAGGCCAAATTTTATGTTTCTTGATGTCCCTTGGCTTCACATTCCGCAAATCGTGTGGTTATGGTCATACTTAGGCACGTCAATCTGCTTCAAGACTTCGGTCGTCGTTTCCCCAAAAAGCACGGACTACCTACAGCTGCCCCACCTCTCCGCCGGTTCAGGACGGGGGACGGTGTTGAAACTCAATTCATTCACGACCATCCGTTCCGCCACCACGCCCACCCGAACCGTTCAGCGGAACGGTCCTTGATTCCAAAGTCCGCAACCCTTGCCCAGGGCAGAGATCATGCCATTCATCCCATCCCATGATATACTATGGTCTGTAGTAACAGGCTAAATTGGTGGTTAGTTGGCGTCATCTGCTACCGTTACCGAGAACGAGCCGATGACGAGAACGAGGCCGAGAAAGACTCTACCCTACCCTGTCTGTCGATCCGTAAATCGGGCCATGGCAATATATCTTAGGCGTAAGGGACGATAGGTCGGATGATTACATTTGGAGATGGCTTGGAATCACGGGTGAGCTGGGTGTTGCTCAGCCTTGTGATAAGCTTAACGCGTTGTGACGCTTGAAAGACTTGGCATCTCTCGGCAGGCTTGTGTGGGTGGCAGTCGCTCGGGAGGGGTTAAAAACGCAGTGAAAGTGGTATGCGAAGCACGCGAAGTAAGACTAAGGGCTTCGCAACACATCTGCTCTGCGTGTGAGTGACACGCAGTGTACCGCGGCAACCTGCAAGTCTCGTGCGGGAGCAGAACAACTGAGTATGAAGCTGATGGCGCCTAATCCGACTCGCACCATGCACATTGTCAACAGCATCAGTCAACTCGATGCCCGGAGTCGGATCGCAGCCGAAAGGCAGACTTGTGTCAACAGCTCATGTATCTTATCCCAGAAGACGTCAAGATCATACGTCACAAGAGCCTGTAGAAATCCACCCGCTCAACCTGTATCACCAAACATCCCAAGACCCGTCAACCCACCACAAGCACGGCCCGTAAATACATCCCACGTGAAAAACAAAAAAGATCCGACAAAAGACTTCTGAATCCCGATTCCTGAATCCCGTCCGGATCGTCGTCCTGCCCTGTTCGAGAACAGTACTAATGGTTGTGTTGGTAGGTCTCCACAGCTCGTTCAGCTCGGTTTGGGAACACGAAAGCGAGAAGCGAGCAATGCGAGGAACGAGCAGCCTGAACTTACACCTTCTTCTCCAACAAAGGCTATCGTTTGCGAATACGCGCGCGAGTAATGGGGGCAAATACGCGGGTTGTGATACCTATGAATGTAGATCCGACGAAAGTCTAGAATTATGTTGTATAAAGATGGGTTAAATGGGCTTGTGATAAGGGCGCAGTTATACGCGGCCTTTGTTGTTGTCAGGTGATGCATTTGTGCCGGCGACAGGATGAGCCGATATGAGGGGAGGATGTGAGACATGTCAGATGAACTCCGATGCGGCGCGGCAGGAGATGAGCAAAGTTTCTTTTCTTTGATTTAACGGTTTTATGACGGCTCCTTGAACATGTCTAGGACACCTGCCTCTGGACTTGAGGGTTTTTCTACGGGTTCGGCGCCGACAGCTTCAGCTTCGACTGGCACGACAGCCATGGGCCTCTCGGTGGCTACGAGAGCTCTCGCCTTCTTCTTCCTGACAAGCACATTGTGGCGCCTACTCTTAATGTGCTTCATCCAGTCCTGCTCCGTCACGCAGGTCGTCTGGCAGATATCGCAGGTCTGACGCCGCTGCGTGACTGTCTTTTGCGACGCGACCTCCCGCAGCACCGCGCCTGCTCTTTCCGACGTGCTCGCCGGCTCGGGCAGACCGTCGCCGTCGAGAAAGCTCCGCGCAATGTCGACAGCTGGATCGATTACGTTGGACGACCACTGGGAGATGTCGGTGCTGTCCATGACGAAGAGGTGGTCCATTGCGCCAGGCTGTTCTTGGAGCGGTGGGACGGTCTTTGTACGGATCCAGCGGGTTTGGTACTTGGCGTACTGGCGCGTCGAGGCCTTCATGTCCTCGAGGCATGTCCCTTTCAGAGACTCGAGAGCGGCGGGCTCGGTGGTCTGGTCTGGGTTGTTGAGTGCTTTGAGGTAAGGCTCAAACTCCTTAAAGCCGATTGACTGCCAGATGCCACGAGTGTAGTCCACCTCCTCGCCAGCGGCCTGCTTTTCCTGGACATACTCATACATCGACTGGGTCTCGTCGTTCAGACCGGCTGTGAGCATTTTGTCCACCCGCTTGTCGAGGCGCTCTTTCAGCACCTCGGGATCCGAGTATACCCAGAAGAGTAGCGTCTGCCACGCACCAGCACCGGACGCCTTGGTCTCGGCCAGCTTGCGCTGGCTCTGTTCGGCGTAGATTTCGGATGCAGGGCGCCCGTTCTGAAGGTAGATCTGCAGCGAGCGCTGGATCTTGCGCCGGTCGTTGGGGTGCCAGCGGTCGGCCATGACGGGGTCGACCTCCCTCAGCTTCGCCAGTATCACCTCAGTCGGCTCGTTGAGGATCGGGAACGACTTGCCGGCCTGCTCGTCACTGACTTCGGCATCCTTGGGCTTATCGCCCTCCCCACCGACGAGGGAGTTTGCGAACAGAAGCGCATTCGTGTAGTAGTGCGTCCCGCCGACGACGATGGGCAAGTTGCCCCTGCTCCGGATCTCGCTGATGACTCTGTTCGCCTCGCGCTTGAAGTCCTCGATAATCCAAGTGGGTTGATCAAGGCCGATGTGGTCGAGTAGATGGTGGGGCACGCCGCGGCGCTCTTCGTCGGTTATCTTATTCGTGATAATGGGCAGGCCCTTGTACATCTGCATCGCATCCGCGTTGATAATTTCGCCTTTGAAGCGAGTCGCAAGCTCTACAGCAAGCTTTGAGGACGTCAGCCTGGGTCGCAAGTGCGCGGGGCATCGCCCGGTCGCATCGAGGCAGCATGCGCCGCGAGAGGGGTGATGGTGCTCACTTCTGATTTTCCTGTGCCGGTCGAGCCCAGGATGACCACCAAAGGGTCCGTGGGCGCATGTCGAGCTGTCATCTTGCCAGCAACATTGTGTAAGAACCTTCGGCCAAGTGTTGACCGAAAGATCATACCAGAAAGAATGTCCTGCCTAGCAATGACTCAGAAGGATCACAGCATCGTGGCCGTCAGAGGCTGGGTCTTGCGTCGTGCAATGACAGGTTTTTCCCGGTGCGTGTGGTGTGTCCGGATCGCGGGGCTGGCGTCGGTCGCCGTGGTTGGTGTTGTTGCGGATTTTTGGTGGTTCCAGGCTTCTCCAAATGGGAATGTGGCATCAGAAGGCATCGGAACGCGCCAGAAGGCCTGGGGGCAGCCACCCGCTTCCCTGCCCTGTGCTGTCGGGTCCCGTCAGCTTCCCTTCCAGGCCCCGCGTCTGGACCCCTGAGGCGAAAAGCACTGAAGCACGCTTAAAAAAGGGCGCTGGAGGATTAAGGTAGCGTAGCATTGCCATACCCAGCAGCGCCTTCAGTAGACCCCAGCTCCTTACCCAGTAAAATTGCAGCTTATGTGACGGTCACGTGTGTCCCCAAGCTCCACCAATTTTTGGACACATCGACAATTTGGCGTTTTTGAAGCCAGATCGCAGCCGACCCTCTTTTTTGCCCCGAGCTCTTAGGTCCTCCTCCTCCTCTCCTTAATAACCTCCCTTCTCCCAACACCATCACCTTCCCCTTCGCCACACTTGGAGCCATTGTCGCTCTCTACCTCTTCCTTCTTGTCCCCTTCATCTGGATGATTTAGATCCTTTGGTTTTTTGTTCCTTCCCGTGTCCCCCCCAGTGTAACAGCCCATCATGAGTTCTCGTAAGTACCTGATCCCCAAAAAGACCACCTCGACCAGCCCCCAGAATCGCGTGCTTTGCCGCCCTGTCGCAAACCTCCCGAGAGGACACGCGCGCGATATTTACGACCCCGGTCGCGATACCCGACTCTGCCTTACCAATTCGCATCAGGAGAACCACAATGGCTAACATTCGCGCTTCTCTCCCGCAGTACGGTTCCTCGACCTGGTCAAGCCGTTCGTGCCGTTCCTCCCCGAGGTTCAGCAGCCGGAGACCAAGGTCCCCTTCAACCAGAAGCTGATGTGGACGGCCCTCACCCTCCTCATCTTCCTGGTCATGAGCCAGATGCCCTTGTACGGCATTGTCTCCTCCGACAACTCGGATCCCCTATACTGGCTGCGTATGGTCATGGCGAGTAACCGTGGAACCCTGATGGAGCTGGGTATCACTCCCATCATCTCCTCCGGCATGGTCTTCCAGCTCCTTGCCGGCACCCACATGATCGACGTCAACCTCGACCTCAAGAGCGACCGCGAGCTCTACCAGACCGCCCAGAAGCTCTTCGCCTTCATCCTCTCTGCCGGTACCGCCACTGTCTACGTCTTCACCGGTCTCTACGGCCGCCCCTCTGACCTCGGCGCCGGCATCGTCTTCCTGCTCATCCTCCAGCTCTTTGTTGCTGGCATGATCGTCATTCTCCTCGACGAGCTTCTGCAGAAGGGATACGGCCTCGGCTCTGGTATCTCTCTGTTCATCGCCACCAACATCTGCGAGTCCATCATGTGGAAGGCCTTCTCCCCCACCACCATCAACACCGGTCGTGGCCCTGAGTTCGAGGGTGCCGTCATTGCCCTCTTCCACCTTCTCCTCACCTGGCCCAACAAGCAGCGCGCTCTCCAGGAGGCCTTCTACCGCCAGAACCTCCCCAACATCATGAACCTGCTGGCCACCATTGCCGTCTTCGCCGCCGTCATCTACCTCCAGGGTTTCCGCGTCGAGATCCCCGTCAAGTCCTCCCGCCAGCGTGGTGCCCGCGGCTCGTACCCCGTCCGCCTGTTCTACACCTCCAACATGCCC